AGAAGAAAAATGGCATCTCTAATCACAAAGGAGATCAGAGAGAGTGCGACGGAGTTCTACGAAGGGGACGAAAAGTGCCAAGAGAAAGCGAAGTTTCTGCTGACCGAAATGAAGTTTCCCAACGGGCTGCTGCCCATAAAGGACATGGAGGAGTGCGGGTACGTGAAGGAGACCGGGTTCGTGTGGCTCAAGTCCAAGAAGCCGACCGAACACAAGTTCGAGCAGATCGGGCGGTCGGTCCAGTACGCGACCGAGGTCACGGCGGTCATCGAACCGGGCAGGATCAAGAAGCTGACCGGGGTCAAGGCGATGGAGCTCATGTTATGGCTGACAGTGAATGAGATCTCCCTCGACGATCCCCCCACTGGGAATATCCACTTCAGGAGCACCACCGGCTTGTCCCGCACTTTTCCTACCTCCGCCTTTGAGCTGGTGGAGGAGAATCTCCAGAACAAGGAGGAGGCAGAAGTGTAACTTCATCTGATCATGTTATAATTACTACTACAATTAATACTTTATTTTTCTTATAAGTTGGAATAATATACATACATTGATAATAATAATTATAATAATAATAATAATATTATTATTATTACGGAGTATTATTAATAGTAATAAATACGAAGTATGTTGTACGACATGGCTGGAGTTAATCTAGCTAGTTTATACGTATGTGAGTCCACAAGTTATATGCTTTGTGGTTAAGTTGCTTCTCATATATGAAATGGCTTGAATTGGCTATTTCTTTGTCTTTGCTTTTTTTAATGGAAAGAACATTTTAAGTTAGTATATATGCATGGTGTCCTTTTGGAATTTATTACTCCATTATAAATTGGTATAGAATACTAGATAGCCTCCTCTTATTAAATGTAAAAAAAAGAGTAGTAGCCTTACTTCATTAACCACTTTGTATTGCAAATTATATATTCTATTGGTCCAAACAAAAAAAGAGTCTCATATAAATGAATAATGTGGTATTGGTTATTAGATTGAGAAAGGAGAGGGGAAGACGGCCGTTGATCGGCAAGGAGGAGGGAGAGTTTAGGATTAGGGAAATATTTCTTTATTGATTGAATAATAAACTCATGTTTAATGGCTACATATATAGATGGTTGATCTAAAGAGTCCTAGCCATAAAAAGTAACTAAATAAATTAAAATACTAATAACCTAATATAATAATATTTCCTAATAATAATATAATTATCTAACCATAAATAATAATAATAATAATAGTAATATAATAATAATGGTAAATAACTAAATATAGTCCTGTATCATAAGACACGTGAGTTAAACCACAATAAAAGATTGAAATATCATTGATTACTTAGTTTAACGCAAAAGCTTTTATTCCGAGTACTTTTTTCTTCAACTTTCGATGTGGAATACTTTAATACTCCCCTCAAGTGCACAATCGTGTCATTTTAAATCTAGCTGGTTTACCACTTTCAAATGGATTCTCATCCCCCTCAAAAAAATATTTGAGGGGCAACACCTAAACCAAGAATTGAGTTAAATGGGTCACAACTCACAAGCGGTTGGGTATGCATTCTCCACGGACAACTAGGCTAAAGACTTGATCTAGACGAACACTTTAACAAACAAGGATGGGGTGTGGGTTACTGGATTGGACCATAGGCCATTTGAATTGAACCACATTAAAAAATTGAATCCAATCAATTACTTAGTTCAACTCAACCTTATAAACCGATGACTTTTTTCTTCAACTTCTAATGTAAAACATTTGAACATAGTCCTTTTAATATTCGAGGGTCAAATTATATACTCAGTATTTTATTAATGAACAATATTAAGGAGTTAATGTGGAAGGTAATAGACAATCAATACTAGCCAATCCTAACTATGGTAGACTTTATATACAGAGTATATTTAAGCTAACTTCTATATTTGATTCTAAAATTTGTTAGGAGTCCTTGCTTTATATAATGAGATGTATCTTTCATCTCATTTTGTCGCAAACATTCCAACTATTCAATATGGTATCATAGCTTTAGGACTCATTTTCTTTCTTTTCCCGGCCTTACCGTCATTCCCCTTTCGGCTTGACTGCCGTCTCTTCCACGGCTTTATCGCCGACAACAAAAATCGGCAACACCAAGTCTCATCGGCGATCGCCACAATCTTCTTCCATCCGATGTCATCTTCGTGTCCAAACATGACAAGCGGATCTAATAATCTATCCATCATATCTTATTTTTTCTCATCGAATCAAAGGCAAAATTGGAAGTCAATTACGAGTATAATTTAACACTTTCTTATTTTTACACTTGGTCAAAATTAGAATTCTTTTTTAGAACAGAGGGAGAAAGAAGGAATATTATGTGGAGTAGCTGTTTGGCTGTTCATTTTTGTTTGAGTATTATGTTGCGTCCTCTCCCACATCGCCTTAATTAGAAGCAATAAGTTCTCTTCTTAACAAACGGCCATTTTATATTTATCTCTCTAAACCTTCCAGTCTCCTTTGATTGTCATTTAGCATACAGACATCAGTCCCATTGATGAGAGTTATTCTTTTTGTTATTTTAATCTCCATTCAATTGACACCACGTATTTTACCTTTTTACACCGTTATTATGTCGTTGCCAACTCAGCTTGTGTGTTAAGTATGTGACATTTTAAATGTTAACCGAGCAATTAATAGTTATGAGTGGACAACTAAGTCCCCTGGACCGGACGGTATGAACCCTGGTTTTTATCAAAAAAGTTGGGAGATAGTGGGTTCTGATGTCACGCAGTTTGTTTTGAAGTGTATTAAGGATTGCTCTTTACCTGACGGAATGAACGATACCACGCTAGTGTTGATCCCCAAGAAGCAAACCCCTGAGACTGTGGCAGATCTCCGACCCATTGTCTTATGCAATACTACATATAAGATTATAGCCAAGATGGTGGCTAATCGCCTTAAACCCTTGTTGCAACATGTTATCTCGGATAATCAATCTGCGTTCCTCCCAGGTAGACTTATTTCGGATAACATTTTACTAGCTTCAGAAATGGGTCATTACTTACACAGAAAGCAGTCGGGTTTGACAGGATGTGTGGGGTTAAAGCTCAATATGGCAAAGGCATATGACCGGGTGGAGTGGGGCTTTCTCCGCAAAATGATGGAGAAACTAGGGTTTGATAGTCGATGGATTGAACTTGTTATGCTTTGTGTTGCTTCAGTCCGCTATCGTGTTCTTGTTAATGGCGCTCTTACAGATGAGTTGGTTCCCACCAGGGGACTTCGGCAAGGAGACCCCCTCAGCCCGTATTTGTTTATATTATGTGCGGAGGGTCTTTCTTTGATGTTGAAGGAGGCTGAAAGGAAGAGGTTGATTCATGGTATTAGAGTGGCCAGGGGAGCTCCTCCCATAACCCATTTGTTCTTTGCAGACGATAGCTTGCTACTCTTTAAGGCATCGGAGGAGGAGGCTGGGCAGGTGAAACAATGTCTCACCGAGTATGAGCGTATCTCAGGGCAGTTGGTTAACTTCAGTAAATCTAGTATCTGTTTCAGTTTGAACACCACTCTTCAGGTTCGGCAGTCTCTTGCTTCGGTTTTTGGGGTAGTCCAGGCAGAGAATTTTGGTAAGTATTTGGGGCTACCCTCTTTTTTGGGAAGAGATAAAGTAAGAGTGTTCTCTTATATTGAAGATAAAATTCAATGTCGGATTCGGGGTTGGGGAAAGAAGTTGCTATCCAAAGCTGGGAAGGAGATCCTATTGAAAACAGTGGCTCAGGCAATGCCTTTATATGCGATGAGTGTATTCCTTTTGCCTCGTTTTACTTGACAGAGAATTGAGCGCCTTTTGAACTCTTTTTGGTGGGAGAGTAAAGGAATTGACTCTTCAGGTATTCATTGGATGTCTTGGCAGCGACTATCAGCCGCTAAGAAGTTCGGGGGATTGGGTTTTAAACAAATACGTGAATTCAACGTGGCCATGATAGGTAAACAAGGATGGCGCCTCTTAACGAAACCGGAAGCACTTGTGACTAAAGTATTCAAAGCTAGGTACTTTTCAAAAACATCATTCCTGGAAGCCCAGTTGGGAAGTAATCCAAGCTACTGTTGGAGGAGCATACTGGAAGCAAAAAATTTGATTTCAAACGGAGTGAGGAAGCGGATTGGAGACGGATCTAACACTCTTGTGTGGGGAGATCCATGGCTGGTCGATAGGGTGAATCCCTTTATTCTCACTCCCCGACCACCTTTTATGCCTAATCTTCCTGTTTGTTTCTTGTTGAATCATGATGCAGGTGGATGGAATTTAGAGGTTGTGCAAAGTTTATTTTGCCCTAGAGATATGGACCAGATCAGTAGGGTGCCACTTCAACTAGATAGTGAGGACAAATGGTATTGGGCAGGAGAGACGCATGGGGAGTACTCCGTCAAAGAGGCTTATCGTCGATTGGTTGGCGAAGCCACATTAACTCCTGGTTTCTCTCGATGGGGTCAGATCTGGCAGATCCCAATTGCTCCTAAAATTAGAATCTGCCTTTAGCGTACAATTAGAAATATCCTTCCGGTCAAGGTGGCGTTGATTACGAAAGGCGTGGAGATCGAGATTGAATGTCCAGTTTGTGGTGGTGCTGCAGAAACCATTGATCATATATTTCTTCAATGTCCTTTGGCTATTGGAGTTTGGAACTTATTGGGATGGTCCTGTCATCTTGTACAGACAAGATCATTGGTTGAATGGATGGAATACCAATTTTCAAAGCTTTCTGTTAAGGAGCTTAAGTTCGTAGCCGGAGTTATATGGGCAATTTGGAGAGCCAGAAACAAGGCAGTTTGGGATCATTACATCCCTTCACCGCAATCTGTGGTAAGCTGGGTCAGAGAAGCCTTACTAGATCCGCCAAACAAAACTGGTCAAAGTGGAAGACAGGAGTCGATGCAAGTGTCCCCTAGATCAGAGCACAGAGTCTTTCGATGTTATGTGGATGCAGCCATATTCCCTTCCTCTAAAGAGGTCGCCTTTGGGAGCGTCATCTTTGATTCGGGAGGTTCCTTCTATGCTGCTAAAAATAGAATGATGCAATGTTCTTTAGAACCGGTGATGGCAGAGGCTATGGCATGTAGAGAAGCTCTTACCTGGGCTAGAGCTAACGAGATCCAAGACGTGGAGCTTCTTACGGATTGCAGATGGGTTGTGGAAGCTCTTTTTGAAAGAAACATCCAGGTTTTTTCTTATCTTGGAACTATAATAAAAGACTGTAAGGCTCTTTTAGCTCAGTTTAATTCGGCATTGGTTTCTCATATTCCTCGGGAAGATAATGGTATCGCTCATACACTTGCTCGTAGTGCGATAACTCAATCTTCTACGTGGAATACATCTCCCCCGGATTGTATTTCTCATTTATTGGAATAATAATGAAATTTGATTGCCTTCAAAAAAAAATTTAAAAATAAATGCTATGCGCTATAACCCCGACCTCCTCCCCCTAGTCTAAAATTTAAAAACTGAAATGCGGTAAAATTGAAGAACTATAATGCTGTTATAAAATGAGAGAAAAACTATTCAGATATTATGAGAATAGATATAATATATTTCTGATTTCTTCTCTCTATTAACTTCTCACTCTTCTTCTTATTCTTAATTGTGATTACAATGCAGGGATTAAGCCTCTATTTATAGTGGAGAGGCTTGGTATGAATACAAATACAAGTGGGAAGTACTGTACATAATTAGTGTTCATCAATTAGTGTCTCAATCTACTATTTTAGAAAGTAGGCCTGATTAATTGAATAAACGAACAATCATTAATTTCATAACACTCCCCCTTGAATGTTCATTTTTCAATTAATGATGGGTACTTCATAAATGGGCATAGTTTAGGAACCCATTCTAATTTTATGTACTGCCTCGTTAAAAACCTTGTCAGGAAAAACCCAGTGGGATAAAAACCTGATCAAGGGAAAAAGAGTACAGTTCATAAAATTCTCCCCCTCAGCTTAGCATAATTGACGGAGGCGACGCATGCCAATCTTGTGTACGAGTTCTTCAAATTTCTTTGAGGGCAACGCTTTTGTAAATAAATCAGCAAGGTTCTCACTGGACTTGATTTGTTTGATGTCAACCTTTCCATCTTTCTCGAGATCATGTGTTGAGAAGAACTTTGGTGATATATGCTTTGTTCGGTCTCCTTTGATGTAACCTCCTTTCACTTGAGCAATGCATGGAGTATTGTCTTCATATATATGAGTCGGATGACTAGTGATTGTTTCTATGCCGCACCTGCTCTGGATATGTTGGATCATTGATCGCAACCATACACATTCTCTACCTGTTTCGTAGAGAGCAATCAATTCCGCGTGATTTGATGATGTGACAGTCAAAGTTTGCTTCATCGATCTCCATGATATTGCGGTATCTCCATAAGTAAACACATATCCTGTTTGAGATTTTGCCTTTTGCGGATCAGACAAATATCCTGCATCAGCATATCCAACAAGAGTGGCCTTGGCATCTTTGCGGTAGAATAAACCAAGGTCGATGGTACCATTGAGGTATCGCAAAATGTGTTTAATGCCATTCCAATGCCTCCTAGTCGGGGTCGAGCTATGTCTGGCTAACAAGTTCACTAAGAATGCAATATCTGGTCGAGTGTTGTTTGCTAGATATATCAAAGCTCCAATAGCACTCAGATATGGTATTTCAGGACCGAGTATTTCTTCATCATCTTCACGAGGTCGGAAAGGGTCATCATGTACATTGAGAGAGCGGACAACCATCGGGGATGTGAGAGGATGTGATTTATCCATATAAAACCGCTTCAGAACCTTCTTCGTGTAATTTGACTGGTGGATGAGTATTCCGTCTTTCAAATGGTCAATTTGAAGACCAAGACAGAATTTTGTTCTCCCAAGATCTTTCATCTCAAATTCTTTCATGAGATATTTTGCAGTATTTTCTATTTCATCAGATATTCCAATGATGTTTAAATCATCAACATATACTGCAATAATGGCAAAGCCTGATCTAGATTTACGGATGAAAACACATGGACTAATTGGATCATTTTTGTATCCTTCTCTGAGCAGATATTCACTGAGACGATTATACCACATTCTGCCAGATTGTTTTAGTCCATATAGTGACTTTTCCAATTTTATGGAAAACATCTCTCGAGGTTTTGAACTATAAACCTCAGGCAATTTTAGACCTCCAGGAACTTTCATATATATGTCCGTATCGAGAGATCAATATAAATATGCTGTCACTACTTCCATTAAACGCATTTGAAGTTTTTCAAAGACAGACATGCCTATCAAAAATCTCAACGTAGTTGCATCAACTACTGGGGAATAAGTTTCTTCATAATCTATCCCCGGAATTTGAGAAAAACCTTGGGCAACGAGGCGAGCTTTATATCTCACAATTTCATTTTTCTCATTGCGCTTACGCACAAAAACCCATTTGAAACCAACTAGTTTCACGCCTTTTGGCGTAGGAACTATAGACCCAAAAACACTTCGTTTTTCAAGTGATTTCAATTCTGCCTGAATTGCTTCGTTCCATTTTGGCCAATCATGTCTACGTCGACATTCATCAACTAAAGTTGGCTCATTGTCATCATTTTCATCCATGATGTTTGTGGCAATGGCATATGCGAATATATCATCAACATGAACATCTTTTTTGTTCCATTACAATCCCGTAGAAACGTAATTTATTGAGATCTCATAATTATCAACGTTTCTATCTTCATTTGAATTATTTGCATCTTCAAAGGTTGTTAAATCCTCATTTGAAACAAATTGTTTGTTGATATTATTTTTTTATATCAACATGCTCGGTTTGTTCATTTTCTTTCTTTGAAGAATGAACATCTTTTGTTTCAAATATTATCTCTTGCCTTTTAAGTTTTCTTGGTTTTACATCTTTTGAACCAAGTGGTCTGCCACGCTTTTTGCGTATTGAAGACTCATTTGCAAGAGTTTTTTTATTTTTCTCTAAAGGAATTTCAATTCTGGCAGGAGTATTCATAGCAGGAATATGTGACTTTGTCACTTTCTTTGAATCCGTGAATGCGTCAGGCAATTGATTTGCAACATTTTGTAAATGAATTATCTTTTGCACTTCTTGTTCGCATGCATTTGTTCTAGCATCAAGAAAAGATAATCCTGTTGCATTCCATGTAATCTCTTTCGTACATGGGTCCTTTTTCTCATTTTCTCCCCCTAAGGCTGGGAATACTGTCTCATCGAAATGACAGTCAGCAAACCGAGCTGTGAATAAATCACCAGTCATTGGCTCAAGATATTTTATAATTGAGGGAGAATCAAAGCCAACATAAATTCCCAGCCTTCTTTGAGGACCCATTTTTGTACGATGTGGTGGAGCAATTGGTACATATACGGCACATCCAAATATTTTTATGTGAGAAATATTTGGTTCTTTTCCAGT